GAACAGGTAGGGTGATAAGATGCAGCCTTGTCTGACCCCTTTGCCAATGGGGAACCATTTTGTTTCTCCCTGTTCTGTTCTGACAATAGCCTCTTGTCCTGAGTACAGATTCATCAGAACTATCAGATGTGTTGGTACTCCCATGTCTTTAAAGGTATTCCATAGTCTTTCATGATCTATGCAGTCAAAGGCTTTGCTATAGTCTATAAAGCACATGCTGATTTTCTTTTGAAATTCCCTGGTGCCTTGCTTTTTTCTATCCAAAATAAATTTGAAAAGAAGGTAAATAAAGCAGTAATAGGATCATGATTCTGGCAGATGAGTTGGGTCATTAAAAAAATAACATAAGTCATCCAGAGAAAGAACAAAATGAGTAAGTCTTGCATTTATTATTAAACATTGAGACCAAGCATGTTGTGGAGGTTTGCGTGTTGGACTGTAACTTTAGAGAGCAGGGTTCAAATCCCTGCTCAGCCATGGAAACTTAAACCGGGTGACCTTGGGCAAGTCACACTCTCTTAGCCTCAGAAGAAGGCAGTGGCAAACCCACTCTGATGAAACCTGTCAAGGAAGCTCTGTGATAGGGTTGCCATAAGTTGGAAGTGACTTGAAGGCACACCACAATGACACATTAATAGAACTGGACTCTTTTCAACTGTTAGGCTCTATCTTGATTCAGATTAAACTGAATATTTAGAATGTGAGCAAGTAGAGCATATTTTAGGCTCTAATGATGCTCAAATTATTTCTCCTGGTTGTACCTCTAGATTGGTCTCTGTTGCCGAAAACAAGTTTTGCAACAGATTAGTTTTCAGGTGGGAATCTGCACATCAGATGTTGGAAGTACCTAGTTAGAAATAACATACTTCTGGTAATTAGCTCCCTTTACCAGTGGCTAAAGTGCAACTACATTATGATTGTGATTTAACAAAGGATAATTTTACTCCTTTTGCAATGTAACTGTAACTTTAAAAAGTCAATTTTATAATCTTGTCAGAATATGGGCTCACTAAACAGTGGAACAAAAATGTCACACAGAGCAAGTTTTCATGCTGTAATCCTTGCTGTTGCTGCATGCTCTGTTTTGGATGTTAAAGTGGCAACATGTGGATGGAAGGAGAGAGGTTTTTGTACCACTGTAACTAATCCTTGTACCATTCAGATACAGTGGGTCCTTGTTATCCACTGAGGTTATGTTCCAGGATTCCCTGTGGATAACAAAATCCATAGATGCTCAAGTCCCATTAAATATATGGTGCCTCTTATATCAAATAGAAAATCAAGGTTTGCTATTTGGAATTTATACTTTTTTTAATATTTTCAAACTGTGGATAAGGCGTCCTGTAGTTGTTTTAAAATTACCAGTAGCCAAAAATAATTATTTCTGTTCCTTTTGATAAATGGGATGGTAAAACATTACTTTTTAAAAAATTGGAAACATAGCAGTAGGTAAATACTACTGTAGCAGCATCTACAGTAATAAAGTATACTTTCAGCTGCAGTTTGCAAACTTACAATTAAAAGTAATTAAATACTTAGGATTATATTGGTCCAGGTTCAGTATTTCTTCTACCTGCTGAGGAAGAAGGTGGGAGCTGAAAGACCAGAGGAAATAGGTGGTGCATCAAGGCTTCTGTTACAAGTGTAAGAGACTGAAAATTAAGCTTTTGCTGACTCCCTTTTGTCTAATCAGCCTTGTCTATGGCGTATGAATGTATCAACTTTAGTTCCCACACAGTTTATAAGAGAGTTAGGTCAGGGGTTGGCAACTTATGGCACGCAGGCTGGGTGCAGCCCGCGGAGGACTTGGCACCGGCCCATGGCCGGTCCTGCTACCGCCACTTTGCACACGCACGCCAGTGCCATTTTGGCATCCAAACTGGCGCCCTCGCTTGCGTATGCATGCGCGCAAGTGCAGGTGCCATTTTGGAAGGCCCCACGGCGGCTGTGCCATGCGAATTCGCATGGCGCAGGCGCAGTGGGGCCTTCCCTGGGCCCTGGCAAAGCCCCAGTGCACGTGTGCCAGGCAAATTCACCCTGTGCAGGCACGGTAGGGCCTTCCCTAGGCCCTGGCAAGGCCCCACCGCACCTGCGCCGGGTGAATTTGCCTGGCGCATGAGCGGTGGGGCCTTCCAAAATGGCGCCCCATACGCGTGCACGCATGTGCACGACGACAGGCGTCATGCACAAGTGCAGGGGACATGCATGCGTGCGCCAGCCCCCGCGTTATCTCCCCCCCATCCCCCCGGCAACAAAAGTTGCCGACCCCTGCTTTAGATTTTTCTGAGTGCTTGTGTATATCAGTTAGATCTTTCTTCATGACTTTTGTTTTTTAATTAAAGAACCCAGTTTCAAATCACACTTTTGTAAACGCTGCTCTCCCAAGTTTAGGAAACAGTTTGCCATACAGCAGTGGCATCACTAGGGTTGGCATCATCTGGTGCAGTAGGTGTCAACCCCGATGACCACCCTCCTATACCACACCATACAGAATCTTTAGTAATGGTTTTTGTACTAATGTTACTCATAAATCTCAATTCCTGTATATCACTGAATGTAATGGCAATAGTTGTGACATAAACAACTAGCAAAATTAAAATTGTACCTTTAAATTACAGTACCATGCACACAGCCTAAATGCATTTACATGTACAGTTTTGTATGGTTAAAGTGAAAATTAGTGAGATGTGGGGTTTTTTATTTTTTTAATTGTTTTATTGTTTTTTTATTGCTTATTTTATGCTATTTTTTGAGTTTGTTGGTTTTAATGGATGTCAGTTTAATCTGTTTTTATGGGGTGGGTGGGGGTCTG